GGGGGGGGCAGGGGGGGGCCGCTCCCCAGTAAGCCTGCCACAGTTTCTGGAGCAAATAGCAAACAGCCTTGCGGACATGCTAATTGACCCAAGCTTTGTTCCAAGGTCGGGGGGTGCACAACAGTAGCCTTGCCAACGTGTTGATCCGACCGAAAGCGGAGCTCAAAGGTCAGGGGGCTCAGACAGATCCTCGGGCCTCACCAGGTCAGACTCCTCCAGCGTGCCAGCACCGATGGGCACTTTGCTTTCATTCTGTCATTTGGCCTGACAGCTCCCTGGTAGATGGATGTGTCCCTGATTTCTGGGTTAAGAATCTGAGGTCAGAGACCTTGTCACTTGTCCCAGGTTACGAAGGTAAAGAATGAAGAAACGAAGTGATTGGGGTGCTGGGACTCCCGGATGGCTGACCGCAATTGAGTCCCAGACCTGGCAGCTTGGTTTCTTGCTTTCCCTTTTTCTCTCTCTGGTGAGCGAGCGCACATACCCTATAGCAAATTTAAAAATAATAATACAATTAGATAAATTTTTGAAATAAAGAAGCAATCCTATCTCTCAGGTGATATGCTGTTTTGTCCCCAGGCCCCCGACGGCCCAGTGATGTTGCTTCCAGATGTCAGCTGTGGCCAGGTGCCCTGAAAACCGCAGGGCCTACTTTACTGGGGTGGGGGGCGTGGCAAATGAGACGTGTGGCTCTGTTCGGCATGTCTCGTCCATTCCAAAACTTGGAAGCGTTCACAGAACATCACTTAGCGTTCACCGCATGCTGGCCACTGGAAGGACAGGAGGACAGTCTTAGGGCCCCACGGCTTTGAGAGAGAGAACATAATCAAAGTTCCTTTGAGCAAGATGTAATCCACAAGGATGAATTTGGTTTCAGGATTAATCTCCTCGAAGAATTTGGGGATTTTCTCCTGAGTCTCTTTGTTAATGTAACTATTCAGGAGCCCCTTGGCCTGTGAGGCACTGTGACTATTCATAGGCACACACTCTGTATCGAAATACCTCTTGGATAAATAGAGGAAGGCCTCTTTGACATCGAAATCCTTGCAGATGAAGGCAAAGCTCCCCTGGGCGAGGCTCAGCTCCCGGTTCCCAGAGAGGGCCTCCTGGAGTCTCTTGAGGAGGGTGGGCAGGAGCATGGGCCTGGTGTGGATCAGGGCCTGCAGGCGGAGACCTCTCTCTATCTGGGCTTTGGTCTGCCCTTTGGCCCCCAGCATCAAGCCTGCCATGGCTAAGGACAGGCCCAAGGGGAGAAGACCACGTTGCCGTCGTGCCTCATGGGGATCTTTCGCAGCAGGCTGAAGTTTGAAGTTTCCTCAGAAAGCTGCTGCCTGCTGGCCCTTAGCCAGGCCTCCTGCTCCTCCTCCTCCTCCCCCTCCCCGCCCACCTCTACCTCCTCCGTGGTCACCTGCACTGGCCCGGGGAGTGGGGTGGCACCGGGCACCAGCCACAGTTCTGCCAGGAGGACGGGGAGCAGTAGGCCCCACACCCAGTTCATGTGGTCTGCTGTGGAGGCTGCAGAGCGGGTCAACAGCAAGGATCCCTCTGGAGAAAGAGGAAAAGCATCGGTGGGAAGCCTGATAAGCTCCTACCCTTTGCGAGTGACCCTCCTCTTTCCCAGGACTCAGCTCTGAGCACCTGCAGTGGGCCTTGGTGCAGCGGACCTGCAGCGAGTAGGGGCCGCCTTTGCTCACCTCGTGGGGCCGTTATTTCACAGAGCAATACTTTCTTCAGGCCCTTGGGCAGCTCAGGGTCCTCACACTTTTTCTGAGGAACAGGAAGTAGCAAAGAGGGTGTTGGTGGGGCCAGAGCAGGGTCTGTGGGCTCCAGAGGTCCTCACAGTCTGTTAGTGATCTGGTCGTTCCGCAGTAAAGAGCTGGCCCACACTGGACTGCAGACCTGGGGCTGAGTCACGTGTAGCTGCGGATCTGGTAGCCCTGAGCGCGATCAGCCCAACAGAAAAGGGCAGCGTGGGAACTTCCCTGCTTTTCTGCCAGAACTCATGGAACACCAGGCTGCGGTGAGGGGCGGGCTGGCTCCCCCTGCCCCAGGCTAGCAGTCTAGTGGAGCGAGACAGCCCTCTCCAGCCCCAGCTCTACCCCACAACTGTCCCTGCCATGGCCCCCTCTCTGCTCCTCTGTGCCCTGGGGCACAGACCTGGGGCAGGATTTCCGTGAAGGGCGCAGCTGGCTGCCCCACCTGGCTGTGCTGGCTCCCGGTTCCTGGTGTGCAGCCCACACACCACGCCTGTGTCCCAGGGGCTGGCGGGCAGGCCACCGAGATGGCCCCTCTCTCATGCTCTCACCTGGGCCCACTGCCATGAGCACCTGGGTGGGACAGGACACCCAGCCCAGTGGGTGTGGGAGGGGGCTGCTCCAGGCCTAGGAAAGTGCCTGTCAGTAGACATGCACTCTGACCCAGGGCCACCTGCAGCAAAATGTGGTGACAGAGAAAGCTCCCCAGCATCTTCTCCTTGATGTGAGAGCTCACTCCCGCCTGGTCCAAAATCATACCCGGCCCCAGCATTCATGGATCATTTACTCAAAAGAGTGCCCTAGACCTCAGGGCCTCACTCCTCGCAGCCCAAAGGGGTTTGCCTTATTCAGTAAAGTACTTTGCATTTCCCAGTTGTCACTGTTTGGGGAGTCCTTTCCAGTTCGGGATGACAAGCTGTGTTGGGTAGATCATGCCAGTGTTGGAAATGCTAAGTACCTCCTCCAGGGTGCCAGTTGTACCCAAGTGTCATGCCATCATTATTATGTGCTAAATGTCCCTCCCCAATTCAAAAGTTGAGGCCCAATCACCAACGGGATGGTATTAAGAGCTGGGGCCCTTGGGAGATAATTAGGTCTAGAAGAGATGAGGGAGATGGAGCTCCATGATGGGATTAATGCCCTTATAGGAAGAGGAAGAGAAACCAGAGCATCCCCTCTCTCCCTGTGAGCACACAGCAGAAAGGTGCCATCTGCACACCAGGAAGTGGACCCTCACCAGGACCAGCCATGCTGACACCCTGATCTCGGACTCTCAGTCTTCAGAACCGTGAGAAATAAAACGATGTTTAAGCCGCCCAGTCTATGGCGTTTAGGCCTGTGAGAGAATACTCCTGGTTCGGTTCCTTCTCTCTGTCAAAGTCAGCAGTAAATTATCCTGGTACACCAACTAGCATTGCCCCTTCCACATGCTAAGTCTTAACTCACCATCCTGTAGGCTCCTCCACTGTCCTGGAGTGGCAGCCCCACAATACACAGGGCTCTTGCACCTGGTCACCAAACCATGTATCCCCTGAGGTCTGAGGTCTTTGCTCATGTGTGGAACGGCACAGAGTCTGTGTGCAGGGGCTCCTTGCACTAGGCACCATAGAACATAGAGAGGACACACCTTCCTAAATAGAACCCAAGTGGGAAGAAATCAGTAATCTACCTACCATCGTGCAAGGTGCCTGGAACACCACCAGCCCTGGACAGGAGGCATTGCTGGCCTGGGCAGAGTTGTGGAGGATGGCTCTCATGCCTGAGCTCAAAGCCTCTCTTCTCCGACCTCCTTCCTGCAGAGATGTGTCTACAGCATGCCTTTTACCCTGCCCCTGCCCACAGCTTGGATTTGCAGTTCCCATTGAGTCTAGGGTAGAGGATTGAGAGCTGCTCAGACACCCACCCCTCACCTTGGAGCCCCCTGGGATGAAGATAACAGCTCCCTCCCCACCCCTCCCTAGCTAGGCGCTTTGAAGGTCTCCCTGTAACCCACTACCTCATACCAGTGAGTGGCCGCTGGTACCTGGGGACCTCATTCAGAGCAAAGGCAACAGGTAAGGCTTTGCAGCCCAAAGCCATCAGCAAATATTTGCTATTCCGAAGTATGACACCCCCCCCCCCGGGGTTGTTATTGATTATCATCCTGCTGCGC